GGAATCAAGAAATACTCCTGCTTGTTAGTACAAATACTAACTATGTCCTGACTACTGCTAACTATATATCCAACTACTGATACCTTGTTAACATAGCTTTTACCTATTATTAGAATATAACATTTACTATATAATCATGATGTACTCTTGCTAATGAACATCATCAAAAAGAAAAACTCAATAATCATAGATAGTCAATATTCGAACCAGTGCAATATAGACAATCAATATTCAAACTGGTGTTTATAGTTTCCAAGAAAATAGAGACATATATAATTCAAACCAGTGTTTCTTCAAATTTTCAAAATGTGGGTTGATTTTGTGAAATTAGACCCGTAACTTATTGGCATTTCATCAAGCATCTCATACGCAGAGCTACATGTTAGGATATTGTGGCTTAAAGCTGAATCCTACCAACTCTGGTAAATTTTCTAAGCAAAGGACCAATAGAGGGATAAAAAGAGCCATTAAAGGAGTGTTTGGGATTGATTAAAAAAAGCACTTTTCAGCTTTTGGCTTAAAAAAAGTTGAAAAGAGTGTTTTCAAATGATAGCTTCTGCTTAAATTAATCACTTAAAAGCTAAAAGCTGGAAGTAGGTAGAAGGGTGCTTTAAACTGCTTCTCACTTTTTCTATTACACAAAAAGTACTTATTTTACCAAACACTATCAACTTTTACTTTTTCAGAATCACTTTTTTCTCAAACACTACCAACTTTTACTATTAATCACTTTTCCTAAAATCACTTAAAAAAATCACTTTTTTAAAGTTGAAGCAATCGCAAACACTCCCTAAAAAGGAATGATAAGAGACATAACCTGACCATCAGACATTTCATTAAATCATCCATATGAAGAGCAAAAACAACTATTTTTTAGTCGTCAAAATAGTTTTTCTGGACATTAGAATCAAAATAAGCTATACATTCTTATGAATACAAAGCTAAATAGAAAAACTATTGGCATTAAACCTTATATTAATAGACAACCAGACTAAAACAACACTAAGAAGATAGAATATGGGATAATTAAGAGAAGAATTTACCAATTCAGCTTGTTGCTCGCTTGATTGCCTAAGAGTGAGCACAATGCACAAAATTGATATACATGAGACATTGGTGCATGCTAGTGTTTCATCGACTTGCCCTGGTTGTATAGCATGAAGAGTAGCGGATAGAATAAAGTGAGACGGATTTATAAAATTATCAACCACATCTTTCTTATTTTCATGACCTATGAGCACATATCCAAAACTAAATTAAACACAAATGAGGATATATATTTATATATATGTGTGTGTATGTGTGTCAGTGACTCAGTGGGTGTGTGAAAATTGAAAAAAAAAAAATCAGATATAAAATGAAAATGGATTAGAAATTCACCTTCTTAGCTGAGATATTGGTTTGTTTAACCCTGAACTTGGTAATATTGGTTATATGCAACCTTATTGAAGTATTTATTCCTATAACAGTAAGGACATTACTGCCTATTTATAGTCTAGCTAAGTAGACATGGTTGCCAAGAAATTCCTTAAATTAAGAAATTTTGATAGGAGTTACCTCTCAGGAATATCATCAAACACCTAGATGTAGCAACCCATTAGAGCATTTTTTCAATTATTGAGGCAATGAAAGACAAAGTGCGTACTTGGAATTTCCCAGGAAGAAGATGCAACCAGCAAAAGGAAGAAGATGCAACCAGCAAAAGTAAACTGCCTGGCACGGTCGCACTACAGTTGCTCATGAAGTTAATTTAGGGTTCTGTGAATGGGCAACCTCAGTATTATACACAATCGGAATGGGTTACCAAAACTTTCAAGTGTAGACAGATTCCGAAACAACAATAAGCTTGAAAACCGATGTCGAAATTGAAGTTTATCAAAAGTGATTTCGATTGCAGTACGCCAACGGTGTAGGGTTCTGAGAACCGTAGTGCCTCGAAGGCCTTACGAATTGCAGAAAGAGCTGGCCTACCATTTGCGAAGGTGCCAACCAACGCAAATCGAAAATTAGTAGAAAATACCTGGATATCTTCCTCAGAGAAAGAGATAGCCGACGTACCTTTGAACGAGCCAAACCTTTGGACCGGTGAACCCAATAGATCAAAATCGGAGAAGAAGCAACTTCGAGCGAGAACGCGTCGGCCGGGGACGGGGTCCCTTACCGCTGATGCGTACGTTGACGTTCCAGCCATCGGTCTGTGCCCCTCCTACGGCGGCATGGGATGCCGCACACGCATTGGGTTGGAATCGGAGGTTATCATACTACAGAGAGGGCGGAGCTTCTACAAAAGTAGGTCGAAAACTTATTTGTGTTATTTAGAATAATGACCCCGAGCATGATAGAATTTTTATGAGAATTATAAATATGACCTGTTTCTATTTTTATCAGTGTCATTATAAGACGCCGATACCATTGTGTCACAAAGCTATGTCATTTATGCATTTTCAAGACAATATATCATCTATTAGTGACACTTATCACAAAGTGTCACTAATGAAGTGTCACTATAAGACAGTTTTCTACTAGTGTATATAACCGAGTTTTGAGGATACACGCCCGATCCTTGGGTACTCCACCCTATATAACCGAGTTTTGAGGATACATGCCCGATCCTTGGGTACTCCACTCTATAAACGAGTTTTGAGGATACACGCCCGATCCTTGGGTACTCCACCCTACCTATGATCTATCACATATCATACTAGATAAGGTCTATATCATAATTAATAATCAAGACTAAACCAAGTCTTAAGGCCTAAGCATAATCATCCATGCATTTCATGCATTAAAAGTCAACATATAGGCAAAACAACACCAAATCGGCGCCAGTTTTGACATAACCAGCGCCGGTTATTAATTAAATTAATTAAACCAGCCATGCCGAACCATAACCGGCGCCGGTTACCCCCTGGGCAACCTAGTCAACATTTTCGTTGACTCGCCATTTCAAACCCGATTTGTGTCAAACTTAATCCCAACATGTATTAAGTTATAACCAAGCATTTTATGCCCCTTTTATCCTTTAAAACATCATATGTGTTTTTATAAACATTTTCATATCATACTTCATTTATGATATCAATGGATAATTCATATAAGCCTAATCACATGTTTAAGCATCTTTTAAACATCATTATGAACACATATAACATTTACTTAGGTAATCTCATAATTAACCCAAGAGTTATAAGACATTAAGCCGTCCAATCACCTCGAATTAGCGCTTATGAAGTTCTACCCTTCTCGGTTGAACTCCGGCGAAACTCCGACGAACTTTGACGAACTCCGGTGATAACTCCGGCGACTCTTTCAACTCCGTGAAAAGTCTATAAACACCTTCAACGAATGCCTAACAAGGTTTTATCATCACAAAACCCATATCAATACCAATAACCTCTAAAAGGTTATATTCCGGCGAACCGGTCTCTCTGGCTTCTAAGTCCGTTCTTGGACTTAGAACCACCTTCCAACCCCTCTTCCCACATTTATAACATGTAGAACAATAATAGGTGTACTTCATATGATATAAAAGTCATACGAAGTTCAAAGAGAGGAGAAAAAGTTACCATTGAGTCATTACCTTAATTATCCAAGCTTTTACTCACTTTTTCCCTCTTTAATCTTCTTTCTTGGATCTTGTTTTCTTGAGCTCGAATTTGGCTATGGAGTAATGGTGTTGCAGAGATTCTTCTCTTCTTTCCTTGTGCTTGGGCCGAAATAATTGCTAGGGGAAAAGGGTTGGGAGTTGTTTTGTCTCAATTGTGCCAATGAGTGATGGGAGGGTCCCTTTGGTTATCAACCATGTCTCACCCATCTATTCTTACACCCATCCCATGCTCCACAGCCCCCAAATCAAATGCTGAGCACACAAAAACGTGGGTTGGCCTCCACTCATGTGGGAAGTCATCCCAATGTGTCCCGAATTGCACATTCGGCCCCGAAAGTTGTATTTCTCGGACTGTTTTAATTACATTTTATTTTATCGGGTCAAATAATATATATAGTATGTTCTCAATCATTACGGACCTTTATATTGAATATACTTTCCCTAACTTTAATTTAGAAGTCTCCGAAATCCATTTCAGACTGTTATCTGATAAATTTCCAATACTGGTAATTGAGCCCTGTTTGATCAATCGGTCAACCCAATGCCTTTCTTATGACCCAACATGAATTTCCACCACCACATAACTATTATCTATACCAAGATGAATATAATATGCGGTCTCGGGTTATCGGGTGGCCCCCGCTTCCGATGTGGACCCCGCGTGGAATTTACTATTCACGCAAAAGAAATAACAAAAATTCACAACCTCGTAAATTCATTTCTTATTTCATAAGGTTCAATACATAATTTACACAAAAGTAAATATACTTGGGGACGGTGTTACATTTCTGGTGGGAGTCAAACATCTAGGATGGAGAATGTATTGAGGAAAATCGTGTTTAAGGGATGCATATGATTGTTGTTAGTTACACACATTTCAAATTAACTGGATTAGGGGAAGGTTAATATTAATTTAGAATAACTCATAAACTTTTCCGAAATTGAGCGAGAATTAATTGATATTAACATTAGAAGACCATGAATAAGTTGGTTTGTTAGTGTAATTTTTTTTCAAAATTACATGTAGTATTACTGATAAAAATTACGTCTTTTATCAATTTTAAAAAATTTAACCATATGTCATAATTGCCCCATCTATATATGATGTCATGTAACAATGATGTGATGCTAATGACTATGGAAATCAATACTCCGTTGTATTTTTATAACAACGGTGTACATATTTTGTGTACACAAAACATTATTAGTAACACTTGGATATAAAAAGAAGCTCATATTCAAAATAGACATGTTAAATATTTTACCGTAATATGTCTAACTAACTTTTAATGAGAGGTTATAATTGTTGACTACTTTTTTTTAATACTTCGTATTAATTAATTGTTGACTATAGGTTTTTTTTCATGCTACGGAGCACTGCGTTTTGTTGAGTCACTCCGTATGACTTTCTCATTATGCTTAAAATAACATATGATGATGATATGCCGTCTGAAACATCTTTTTTTTTGATCATATGCCGTCTGAAACATTAGATCATCAACATTTGTTTTTTTGCGGGAAGATCATCAACAAATTTTGAGTGACTGTGATCATGCTTGTTCAAGATCTAATGCATAATAGAATGCACAAAACATGAAATGACGATCGTTTGAACAATACCCAGTTCCATTTCCAGGTGTCTGATGGCGAGAATCGCCGCATTCCTGGCGGCAGTTTCGGCGGCGGTGCTGATCAGTGTAGGGTGGGCGGAATCCCAAACCCCGAACGCACCATGGAGGATCCACACACTGTTCTCGGTGGAGTGCCAGAACTACTTCGATTGGCAGACGGTGGGTCTCATGAACAGCTTCAGGAAGGCCCGGCAACCCGGCCCGATTACCCGGCTCCTTAGCTGCACCGATGACGCGAAGAAGACTTATAGAGGCATGGAATTGGCTCCCACTTTTGAGGTCCCTTCCATGAGCAGGCATCCCAAAACCGGTGATTGGTAGCTACTATCAAATTTTATTGTCAGGCTTCTTTAGGATTTAATTCTTTTAGAACGAGCCTGTTACCTCACATGAGCGATTTCCTCTTTTTATAAGGATTATATAATATCTTATTGTTATGAAAATGTTGAGGGATTCAGAGAAGATGAATGCTTTGAGCTCTTTGTGTTTATCTTCAGGTATCCTGCAATTAACAAACCAGCCGGGGTGGTGCACTGGCTTAAGCATAGTAAAGAGGCAGAAAATGTGGATTGGGTAGTTATTCTAGATGCAGACATGATTATCCGAGGTCCAATCGTGCCATGGGAGCTGGGTGCTGAGAAAGGTAGACCAGTTGCTGCATATTACGGGTAAGGCGCCTTGGTTCGTTCTTTTGTAATTTGTAGTAAGTGAAGTTTCCTCATTCCAATTGTTTTATAAACAAGGGATTATACTTATAAGTAGCTTTTGACTTGATAATTTGTTTATAATTGTGATGAAACCTGAAAACTGAAAATCAACGGAAGAAACCGTTGTCTGAAGCTACTAGGCTGAAATCTAATATTGTTATTGTCTTAAACCAAAGTAAACCCTAAATTAGAGATTTAAATACCCTTCTAATAACAAACCAGAATTAGAAATTCTAATCAAGCCCAAAATAGAAAATCTAATAGAATTTTTTTAAAAAATGAAACTAAATCTGTAACAAACAGCCAGCCCACAAAGGTATGCTCAAGCAGGTCCCTAAGCTGAGCCCCTGTTGTCTATCAACTCCATCCTCTTTCAAAACAAACCTTGTCCTCAACGTTGAAATCTGGAAACTGGCTTACAAAACTCTCCTTACTCATCCAACTAGCATCACCACTGGATCGCCCCACCCACTTAGGATGCTTTTACTTGGACCGTAATTTGTCCCAGATCAGACCAGACCAGACCAGACTTGGATAGTTATAAAAATACAAAGAAACCAGACCAGACCAGTTCAGACCAGACCAGCAAATTACAGTCCAAGTAAAAACATCCTTAACCAACAAATCTTCCACATCCACCCCTTTCTCACACCCTGTTTGCCAAGCCAACACCACATCAGGCTCAAACACTGGCCCCACAGGCAGTTCCAAACTCTCCGACAGCCCACTCGCTACTGAATGATCTCACACCACCCGCCGCAGTTGTGATACATGAGACACAGGGTGTATGCGGCTAGTGGAAGGCAATAAAACTTGGTGATAGCTTATGGTAAGGCTGAAGAAACACCGTAGATTGTCGATGGGGCCCAACCTTCAAAAAACCTTATCCTCAGCTTGAAAATTTACCCCTCAACAATGTTTACTAGCCTGCGTAACCATGCGCTGCTGTGTCTTTGCCAAATTATGCTTAAAAGAACCATCCCGACTGCCCAATACTTCTGCCACGACAGCCATTTTACTCTCGCCGAAATGTCTGTACATCGTCAGGTCACTCCTTAACTCGACTTGACTATTACCCCACTCGAAATTCATAGTCAATGTTTCCCAATTTGTCTGTACTTCTCCCAGCGTGGCTTATCAAGCTCCTCCCAAAATTATGTCAACCCCGCCCAAGGCTAACACATAGCAATCTACCTTAACAGCACACCCCGACAATGAGATAGGTAGCTGTCCACACACCCCCTCCGGCTCATGTCTATGCCCATCAACCAACTGCACCCCAAACTTGCCCATCTTGTTCAGATTCAATCGTAATAGGAGACCAAGGGTGAAGAATTAAAGTTGTGGCTTGCGCAAGTGTCTATCAGAATTGTCATTCTGCATCCTCAACCACCCCCGAAGTCTCATAGTTCGAGGGCTGAAAATTCCAGTTCTCCATCTCCTTCGAACCCTCTTGATCCTCCTCAACTTCCTCCTGCCCGGTTATCTCAAAGTAATCATGTTGTTGGTGGTCCAACTCCTTGTCCTCCTCAGCTAACATCACCCTTAATTGCTTAAATGGGCAGTCGTGTCCTGGTGTAAAAGGTTTCCTACACCTAAAGCACAATCCTTTTGCCCGCAATTCTTCTAACACCTTTGGTGGAATTCCAGTGAATCTGGAGCATGCAGTAGACTGCCCGGACAGCCCCGGATTTGTTCCCGTGGGCGTGGGCTGCCCGGTAGCCTTAGGAAAGCTGCCACTGAGCCCCTCATACTGCCGCCACTTGCGGCCGTGTTGTTACCCCCACTTGGCCGAAAAAACTGCCCAAACGCGACCCCACATTACTGTAGGACTAGCTCCCTCGTCCTCCATTCTGAAAGGACATATTATTCTCAATATCTCTAGCCAGTTCCATTGCTGTCTCTAAACTATTCAGGCGCATCAGCCGTAAAGAACCCCGAATTGGCCCCTGTAGCCCATTCATGAAATACCCCAAATAATGATCATCAGACAGTCCTGGAACATGACTCGCCAATTAGACAAAAATCGAGAGTACTCCTCCACTGTCCCTGACTGACTGCCTGATCCTGGACCCCCATTCACCAGCTACCCTTAACCGTGAGTCAAATCGCACCACCAATGCTTGATTGAACTCCCATCCTCTCATGTCATACTAGGCTTCCACGCCCTTAACCAGGTCAACCAATACAAGGCTGCCCCTTCCATCGCAACAACAACTGCTGCCACCTTCCTCCCCGGCGGAGTACAATTCAATTTCAATTGCTGCTCAGCCCTAGCAATCCATCCGATGGGGTCATCGTCATCAAACGAGGGTAGTGGTGTGACAGTTGTGCCTCGCTGTCCTGGCTCCAACGCGGCTTCCACTGCTTCATCCAACGAAGCAGATGCCAATGACGGCCCTTCTGTCGCTAACGGCATGAGTGCCTTCGAGAGTGCAGCCAAGGAGGCTGCGATCTCTGCCAATTTGACACCGTGCGCATCCAATTTCTGGTTCATCAAGACCTGTTCGGCTTCCACCTTCGTCAAACGCTTGGTAGTTGATCTTGTCATTCTGACGGGAACAGTATTACAGTATCCAGCAAGTCAGACCAATTGATGGAACCTGAGAACTGAAAATCAACGGAAGAAACCGTTTTCCAAAGCCACCAGGCTGAAATCCAATATTATTACTTTGGTAAACCAAAGTAAACCCTAATTAGGGATTCAGATACCCTTTTAATCACAGACCAAAAAATAGAAATCCTAATCAAGCCCAAAATAGAAAACATAATAGAAAAATTATAAAAGTAAAACTAAAACCGCGGCCAACAGCCAGCCTATGAAGGTGGGCTCAAGCCCGTCCCCGCCTTTGGTAAACCAACAGGGGCCTTGGCTTCTCCTCCTCTAAGCCGAGCCCCTGCTCTCTATCAAATTGATGTCAACAATCTTTAATAACCTTTGTCTAACAGCGCCCAAGAACTGAAGCTATGCACCAAGTCGATAGCATTTACTGTTTTTTTGTATTGTATCTATTTCTCTTTCAACATGATTTGGTTAGATAACCCTTACCAAGCAGTTCCTAAAGCTGATGATATGTTGTGCTACAAAATAGAAAGTATTGAGCACACGAATTTCCAAAACACTATTTAATATTGCATTATATAACCACTTTCACCCCAAAATGTAGGTATGCAGGATTGTAGAGACATCCTTTATAGAAATATGACTAGGTTATAAATTTGGGAGTGTATTGCATATCATGATTACAAGTTCTTGATTTTCTTTGTTGTTTATTTATATCTTTTCCAGTTGATATCTTCTTCCCTGTATGGAAGCTGATTCACATTCCACTTTCAGGTACTTGGTTGGATGTGACAACGTTCTTGCCGAACTGCATACAAAGCACCCAGAACTGTGTGACAAGGTTGGTGGGGTTCTAGCCATGCATATTGATGATCTTCGAGCTTTAGCACCCATGTGGCTTTCAAAGACAGAGGAAGTAAGGGCGGATAGAGCCCATTGGGACACTAATTATACTGGTGACATATATAATTCCGGATGGATCAGTGAAATGTATGGGTATTCTTTTGGTGCTGCAGAAGTGAGTTTATCCATTGGTTTTTTTTCCTTTTGTGGTTCTTCATGGTTCCATTGGGATCTCATGAAATGCTAGTGAAAAGAAAATAGGTATGATAACAAAAGGGAAAGTTGGAAAGAAAGAAAATATGAGGGGAAATAAAAATGTCTTCACGCTCAATAAATTTAGTTTTTAATAATTTTCATAAAACATTTTATTTGTCTATTTATTTTATGTAAAACTATAAAATTTAAAGACATAACTTAGAAAAACACTGATCATATTTCACTAACTTCAGTCCTTTGCATTGTCTGCGGTAAGAACGAACACAAGAAAATAATTATCCTTGGCATTTTTTCTCTTCCCTAGCATTTTCCATGACCCAAACATACCCCATGTGTACTATGTGAATTCAATTTCTAGCTTTTTAAATTTTTCAGGTGGGACTCCGGCACAAAATTAATGATAATTTGATGATCTACCCAGGCTATATTCCACAAGAGGGCGTTGAACCTATTCTCTTGCACTATGGATTGCCTTTTAGTGTTGGAAACTGGACATTCAACAAGCTTAAGCATCATCAAGACAATATTGTTTATGATTGTGGCCGCCTCTTTCCAGAGCCGCCTTATCCCCGAGAGGTAATACATTAAGGCAAATTTTTGGTAAGCCGTAATGCAATGGGGTCAGTTTGTGTTATGGCTTGCCAAAGATTATGTAAATGCATTACCAAAGTAAATGACTTTCACCCTGTGGATGATTCTAGTCACCACTTACTGTGACAGAATCTTGGTAGTTATTTTAAGAAAAAATGACCCGCATATTATTACTAGACTCTTGGATTCCAATGATATGACTGTTTTGACCATTCCCACAAATATGACCGATCTTAGCCTGTCATCTTCTTCTGCACGCGCAAGGCATCGATCCTCTCTGCTTCTTTCTTCGCACCGCACACACATCATATGGAGACAGCCCCTAAGCGGCCACCCTGCTTCTCTTCTTCGTCAGCTTCCACCGTGCCGCCTCCGTTGTCTGCCTCCGCGTCGCCTTGCCTCCGCCGGCTGACAGGGTCGCGATTGTGGCAATTTCAGACGGAGATTCAGCGGCAATGGCGAGCCAATGATCATCACGGATCTATTCTGCATCGGTGCATCTCGGATCTGACGGCGACGGTCATCGATCATCTCTGCATCTCGGATCTGTTCTGCATCGGTGCATCTCGAATCTGACGGCGAAGGCCATCGATCATCTGTGCATCTCGGATCTGTTCTGCATCGGTGCATCTCGAATCTGACGGCGACGGTCATCGATCATCTCTGCATCTCGGATCTGTTCTGCATCGGTGCATCTCGAATCTGACGGCGACGGTCATCGATCATCTCTTCATCACGGATCTATTCTGCATCGGTGCATCTCGGATCTGACGGCGACGGTCATCGATCATCTCTGCATCTCGGATCTGTTCTGCATCGGTGCATCTCGAATCTGACGGCGAAGGCCATCGATCATCTCTGCGTCTCGGATCTGTTCTGCATCGGTGCATCTCGGCATATGTTCTCCCGCCTTCTCTTTGCATCAGATCTGCTCGTCTCTTTCGATTGGTGCTGCCTTGTCTTCTGGATCTGCGGCTATTCCTCACTCCGGATCCTCGTATGGGAATGAACGGGGGCTATGGACTAGGCTGGTGGGCAAAGGGAGGCGGCGGCCACCGCCGTGGTGGTTGTTGGTGCTTCTGGGGATCTGGCGAGGCAGGGAGGTTGTTGTTTGGGCTGCTGCCAGTCACTGGGCGGGACTGGGGTCACGTGGTGGCAGCGACGGTAGTGGTGGCATGATGGTGGAATGCGGCAGTAGCGTGGTGGTGTGGTAACTGACCGGAAGGCGATGGCCGGTATAATATATTGGATATAATTTTGATCCTCGATATCGAGGTGTTTTGGGTGTGGCGGAGTCACCATGGCCGGAGTCACTATGCGGCGGAGTCACTGTGCGGCGGAGTCACTGTGGTGGCGGGGCAGTCACTGTGGCGGCGGGGCAGTCACCGTGGCGGCGGGGCAGTCACTCTGACCGGCGGGGCAGTCACTCTGACCGGCGAGGCAGTCACTATGGCCGTTGGACAATCACTTGGCCAGAGTCACTTTGACCGAAGTCACTTTGGATTGCAGGGGCTAATTTGTTGTTGGTCACATTTTTGGATTTTTTAAAAACGTTTCACTTTTTTGTCTTATATCTTATTTTTAGTAATATCCATGCCAAAAGGCCTTATTTTAATGAGTTTATTTCCAGTTCCTTTAGCTCCTGAAAAATACCAATGAAATGTAATACTACCTCCGTATTCTTTTGTTTGTTGTATCAGAATTTTCACAAAATTTAAGGGTAAAATAGTAGAGGTAATGAATAGTGCAGCTGTGCAGGAAAAATAGAAGAGGGTGGTAAAGTATGAAAGAGAAAGACAGAAAGTTTGGAAAAACTAAAATACTTCCCAAAAAGGAAAGTGTAGCAAACAAAGAATATGGGGGAGTATGAAAGACAATGAGAAGAACATGGAAAATTAGAGAGAAAGATGATAAACGAAAGGGCAGAATTCCCTTGTCAATTTGACAAGTGGCTGCTCCCAAGACATGAACCCTTGAACTCTTGGTCGCACAATAATACTATAACCGGTGCGCCAAGGCTCCTCCCTGAGGGAAAGATAATGTGGTTGAAAATAAGAAGATAGGCTAAAAGCCTAAAATTCAATAAATTATTTTAGATATTTGTTGATACTATTCGTGTATTATATGGAGTTAAAATATTCTTAATATTTGTTAATTAACATATATTGTTTTCTTTTGTATTTTCCAAAGAAAAACCAGATCTAAGAGAACGGTTTAGCGTTTTTTTTTCTTTCAGTATCATTCTCGTGATCCAAGAACGTTCATATTAAAGGTTGAAAAATGAAGATAAAGAAAATTAATTTCATGCACCATTATACTTTAAGACAGCGTGACAAACATACCCGTGCCAAATTCTATTTGAGGTACACAATATATATATCTGAAGTAGGGCTGGGAAAAAACACCCGACTCCCGACTCCCGATCCCGATCCCGACAATCCCGATCCTGATAATCCCGATCCCGACAATCTTGATCCCGACTAGTCAGGAATCTTTCCCGATCCCGACTAAGTCGGGACGGGACCGGGATTTTTTTATAAAAAAAAGTCGGGATCGGGAAAATCCCGACATCCCGACACTATATATATATATATAATATATGTAGAAATATATATATATATATATATATATATATATATATATATATATCTATATACACATGTATATAATTATATATGAATATATAAAAATGAATATAAATTTATAAAAAATGTATATGTATCTAAATATTTGCATATCTTTTTTAATTACTTATTCCTTACATAGATTAATTTTTTACTACGAAAAAAAAGAAAAAAAATTAATTTTTTACTATGATTATCTTACAATATCAAACTTATAAAACTATTTGGCATTTGTCCGAAAATGAATATTCAGGATCCTAACTAAATAGAGATTATTCTTGATCCCGAGAATCTAAATCACAACAATATTACAAATTTTGCGGTTCTGATGAACTCTTTAAAATAATCGAGGCTACGATTTCTTTTTTAGTAAATAATCTTAATATGTATTTATACATTATATTCATTGGTCACAAAGTTTCTCAATGAGTCTACTTAGTTTTGAATTTTAAATAATATATGTGACACATCCTTCTTTTAGTGATTTTTATAAAATGTTTGGAGTAAGTTTCATTAAGCTTTGATAGCTTATTCAAAAATTATACTATTAATTAATTGAAGTTACAAATAAAAATTATTCTAAAAGTATGTACTAGTGTGAATTTGAGACGATAATTATTACAATAAACTTTATAAGTAGATGATGATAAATATGGTATAACAATGAACAAAGAATAATTTTGAAACTGCTGAATATCAAAGTTAGTGTTTAACTAAAGAAATTACATAATTTTATGTTTGATACTTCATTGTCGGGATTAAGCGGGATTCCCGATCGGGATCCCGACTTAATCGGGACGGGATACGGGATCCTCTTGTAGTTTGAATCGAGATCAGGACGGGATCGGGATTTGGGCAATCGGGATCATCCCGATCCCACCCCTAATCTGAAGATCATTCATTACGTAACTACTGAACACTATAAGTTGGGAAGGTTCGACAAACTATAAAAGACTTGCTAGATGTTATAATGACTTGATTAAGAACATCAAAATTATGTATATTAGTACTATGGCCGTCTTTTCCATCATTTGCAATGGAGCCAAAGATTCATTATTTTTTGGCTTGAGAATATGATGGAATAAAACAAAATGGCTCACTAAACTGTCTGCGCTTCATTGTTATGAAGCAGCAGTCAGTCCATGCAATTTTGGACGTGATTTTCACTATGGGTCATCCGGAAACAGTCTCTCTATGCTTTAGTACAGGGGTAAGATTGCGTACATCCGACCCCCCCTTACCCCACTGTAGGTGGGAGCCTTTGCGGCACTGGGGTAAATGAAAATGATGAGTACTATGGCAGTCCTTTTTCCTGTTGATTAATGATGGGTAAGAGGGAAAATTTGGAATTTCAGATAACATAGGGACTTTAGAAGATAACGTTCATTACGTCTGAAGTGTGCATGCTTCTTCGAGTAATTAGTCATTAGAAAGTTATTAGTCATTAAAAGTTTCATAGTTCTTGTATTGCAAGGACGGTACGACTCAGGAACCAGAAGGTGCTAGGGAAAGTAAGTAACGAAGAATGAAAGTCCTATGGAAAGAAAACAGAGAAAGATAGACGGGGGATTCGGAAGGAAATAAGATTTGGTGTACAAATTTGTTCAAACTCAATAAATCAATTTTAGATCTTTGTCTATGCAAAATTTACTTATATATTCCCATTTGTAAAAAAAAGATCTAATCAAATTTGATCTTACTTTTTTTAGTCAAATTTGATTTTCCATTGTAACTTCCCAAGTAAAACCAAACTTATTGTTATGGGCATGGTTGGGATCTTGTTTTATATCTAGGAAATAGAGATTATGAAAGTAATAATAATATAAGCCTAAACTGAAATTAATCGGTGCCTGACCTTGTCCAAGACACAAAAATTAACACTTCCCAGGCTGTTTATTGAATAATGATAACCCTTATACAGCTATTACAAGAGCTCCACTTATAAAAGGAAATAAATGCTATTTAAGAAGTTGCCTAAAGCAGAATAGGTATGATTATAAAAAGAGAAGCATACACAGTAATGATAATAGTAATAATAATAATATAAGGGTTCCTTGCTCATATCTTGACTCCTCTCTTGGACATCAAGCTTTTGTCCCCAAGCTTGAAGGAAAGTAATCCATAGTGTCCCTCTTTTCCACGATCAAATGGTATGATTAGAAAAACATTTATCACATTGTCCCAGATGCTGCACTTTTTTGTAGTTTGTACATAGCCAACACGACTATATACAGAGACTGGACACTTCCATGTGAATCTTGTAATTAGGTTGGCCTCTTGACTCAAGAAACTAGAATATGGAGTGTGGAAATTGAGATGTTGGTCCATGTGCATAAGTCCTTCAAAAATACCTCGCTGATG